AAGGCACTTCAGGTGCCTGTGGGTAGAGTGAGAGGACTAAAGGCTACATGACGATTAAAGGCGGGAAACAGACCATGTGGGGCTTTGGACTCAACTGGATAGCCTGTCCCCAGTGTTGATATTCTATTTCATGTTTCACTGTGATTACTTCTCCACTTTAAAAAACCATCTTAAGTGTTTTTGTTTAATTATAAAAGTAGTGCACATACACTGCAAAAAATTTCCAATAGTACAAAAAGGTTATAAAGTAAAAAGTGACAAAAGAAAAACCCTTACTTCTGTCAAGTGTTTGAATCTGATGGTGTGTCTGAGGGCGCTGGGTCCCAGCCTGGGTGTTGAGTCAGTCTGTTGATTAAGAACCTCCTTGATGTCTGATGAAAGGAGTAACTCCAAACTAGGAGTCCCATTGAGATGACAAGTTTGTGGTGTAAACATGCTGGCATTCTGGTCCTGTCTTCTTTCACCAATGCTTCTCCTCCCTCCTTTCCCCTCTTCTTCTCCTCCTTCCCCAAGTGTGGCCCTCGGCTGGTATGCCACCTCCCCAAGTGTGGCCCTCAGGTAGTATGTCACGTTGGATATTGCCCAGAAACTCCAGTACTGGTCCCTCTCGCTAAGGCCTGTACACATCAGCTCAGGCAGAGGCCTTGGGCAGGATCCTGAGAGATGAGAGAATTCATTTTTTCTCCACTGTGCACCTGGGGCTTTGAGCTGCTATAAGGAGGATGCCTCAGGTTGGGAGGTCCCCAAGTGCACACTTGCCACTGCTCTTGGCTCTTTCTCTAAAGCAGGGATTCCAGCTGTGAGCAGTGTGTGGCTCCGTGGGCCTATGTGTAGTGGACATAGTGGACAGCAGCTGGTGTTGAAGAAATGGAATGGGACACTGTCAGTACTCTTTCCCTGGTGAAGAAGGCATGGTCAGGAAACGGCAATGCGTGTGTCACACCCCCAATGCCACTGCCTTGGGCTTGTGATGTAAAACTATTTCTTACTGTGTGTGGCCTATTGGGATTGTGGCAAACTGGGAGCTCATGCCCTATGTGGATGGTGGCACTTTGCAGCTCCAGAAACTGCCGCCTTCTGGAGATCTGGGCCCAGAAGGCCAAATGTTCCCATTCTTCAGGGAAAGTTCCCTAAGTACATTTTGATGTAAAATCTCCCAATTTTAAGATGTGATTAATTAAAACTTTGTAACCGCAGGTGTGAGCCTGCCATGGAAGGCCCACTGCCTTGTGCCCTTTCACCCTCCCTGCTCTTCACTGGCTCTGGCCGAGGCATTGCACAGAAGCCAGGGTCGCGTTCTCACTGGCTGGCTGCCTCCATTCCTTCTGCTTCTAGAAACCAGAGCTGGCAAATCTGCCAGACACATTCACTCACCAGGAAGGAACAGACTTCCACTCAAAAGGCAGATTGGGGACACCAGCAAGGGATGGGCAGCAACTGGCTACCTGGCAGAGGCCCCCACAGGCCTGCAACAGACTCCCACACTGTCCCGGGCCTTCTCCCAGTTCACAAGTGCTCCCCATGGGCCCTCGGTCAACTGGCATCACTTCCCAGGGTTTTGTCTACCTCAGCAGGTAGTCCCCACTTTTCTCTCCGGGATGTTGTGCCCATGGAATCAGCACACACAGTCTAGCTTGGCACCAGCTCATCTGAGGCTCTCCTCAGATATGAGATGTTTCCAAGGTTCAGTGATTCCAGGATTCCAGGCTGCAAGGAGCTGGGCAAGCTACAGTTGGAAGAACAAGAATCAACAAGGGTGTCCTCGCTTCAGATGCCAGACAGAAGCTGGAGGGTTCCCCCACCACCCTCACTTTCAAATATCGGGCTTTCGCCTCAGGATGTGTCACTGTACTACAGGATGGGTGACTATGCACCTAGTGTTGCCAGCCCAGGAGCCTTTGGTGCCAGCATTTTCATTGGAGCTCAGTCACATACTGTCAGCGTGGCTGGCCTTCAGTATCCAGTCCCTCCTGGAGCCACATGTCCCAAAGCCCCTATCATAAGCCACAGTATTAGACTATCCAGGGCCCAACACCCCCAGATAAACACACTCCAGTCAGGACTTTCCAAGGGCCTAGACCTCACCTCCCAGGAACCAAGGGCAAAGGCCAGACTTCAGGGAAGAGAGGGCCAGCCCCTCCAGCCTCTGATGTAGGTTTTCTTATAGGATGATGGTATTTAGGCATCTACACTTAGTATTACTTGTTACCTCTCTTGATATGCTAAATGTGCCTTATGATAAATATGTGCAGAACCATTTAGCATAGAAATGAGTGAATGGTTCCTCAGGCCAGACATCTCCCATCCTGAGGAGGCCATAACTCAGTGCTCCAGCATGTGGCCAGTGGTGTAAGCATAACCTCACCAGCCATGCCAGTGCTGTTCCACACTGCAGCAGGTAAGTGACCTGGAAAGTGAGACTGGGCCCAATCAGTTACCAGCCATTCAGCCAGTCCATCAAAAGGTCTCCCACCTGAGGCCACTCAGGTTTGCCGCTTCCATTAGACCTTGTCAGATTTCAAAAGCAGGAGTGGACTTGGCTTTGCCTTTCAGGCATCTGGTATGATCGAGATGAGGCTGTGTCCTCTTTCTCCAAATCTCTTAGATAATATAATACTGGCCCAATGTTCTGTTGGGTTTCCCTCATTTATAGCCCATTTGCCCCTTTTCCCTCGGCTCTCTCCACCCGTACTCCAGTTCTTCCACCCTTGGACGGTGCCTTCGGTTTGGCCCCTGTGCTGGTCTCGATTACAGGCAGCAATAGCAAATGCCTCCCTCCTCCACTGGTAGGGTGTGGTCATACAGACCTTCTGGGCCAGCTCCACCAGCAGGCACACTGCCGCATTCACTGTCCGTCTAGAATAGATCCTGCCAGGTAGGTGTAAAAGGAGTATCCACCCTGTTAGGCCCTTAGGATTTGTGGCATCAATGATTAGAAGTTCAGTCACCGTTTCTTGCTTAGGAATTCTCTCCCTCCTTCTGGCACCCATAGTTGCAGCCTTGCTCCTGGGACAACAGCATCAGATAGGAACAAATTAAGTTGAGATGATGTTGCAGGGGAAAAGTATAGTCATGCCAGCATCCTTCCTCTGTGGAAGAATTGTGTCATCATAACAGGCCCCCCAGATCACCTAGAAAAGCAGAGGAGTCTATTCAGGGGGACCCGCCCTTGGCCCCCTCATGGTGAGTGTGAGCACACTGCCTACAGCATGTAAGTCAGCCCTTCATGCCTGCATCTCCATCACCTTGTTTTAGAAAACCGGTTTTAATCCTCTATCTAGCCATTACTCCAAGGAAGATCTCTCTGCTCGTTGTTGGACACTGAGCTGTCACGAGTGTTGCTTGGGCTGATGAAATGGGAATGGATGGTTCAAACAGGCACCTCTGTTGTTCCAGTAACTTACTGTGTATCAAGCATTTCCTTCTACCACTAGCTGCCATGTGAGGCCCAGCCCAGAGACCTCTTCCTGCCAGGATCCCTCTGCAAGGTCCAGGGACTTCCAGAATTAGTCCATTCTCCAGCAGTGCTTGGGACTTTCCCCAGGGGATCTTCCCCACAGCTATCTACAATTTCTGTCTCTCTAGTTGACAGGACAATTCTTGTTGACTTTTTGTGCCTCAGAGGGACAAGAGGAGTGTGTCTATATCTAACCAGTTCCTGCATTGCTGAAGCCCCATAGGTTCCCTTGTTTTGTGAACCTAGATGGCTACCTCAGTGTATACCAGTACACCTGCTTGCCAATTCCAATCTATTTCCGGTCCTGGGGGGGAGTTCTTCTGATGGGCATCATCATGTCCTATTTTAATGTACCCTTAAGTCCCCATAATGATTTCCATAGAACCTGGTCCACATGGGCACCCTTTTAATAGACGCATTTTCATTGCTGTTCTCCTGACCATGCCATTGGCACTACCCATGAAACAAAACTGGGCAAATGGCATGCAGCCAGCCTAGTCTGCTGACTTGTTTTATTTCTTCCCTCAGAGGGGCAGCCTCCCAACAGGATGTTGCCCATACACCTTGAAACTGCCACCCATAAACCAAGCAGCTCTCTTTTGGTTAATCAAGAGCTTTCAGCCCAGATGGTGTGGCTCAATGGTTGAGTGTTGACCTATGAACCAGGAGGTCACAGTTCCATTCCCAGTCAGGGCAAGTGCCCGGATTTTGGGCTCAATCCCCAGTAGGGGGCATGCAGGAGGTGATTCCAGACCCAGGTGATTCCAGACTCAGTAGAAGGGGGCACATCTCTTTGCTTGTGATTATGCTGAGTACCTTCCAGCACTGCCCTAGTAGTATCTTACTGCACAAACCATGTCCATTTTATCACGGAGCTCTTCTCGACACTTACTGGCCCTCCTTGAAACCACCCACAACAGGATGGGGATTTCAGGTTTTAAGACTAGTTTATGGTTTTTAGTCATAAGAGCAGTCTCAGTTGAGGCCATGTCCAGTTGTCTCAATGGAAAATTTTTGAACCCAAGTTTTAGCGGCTGTATTGCTGGGTGGCATGTGCAGGCTGTGCCATAAGCCTGAGTCTGTGGGAGGACTCCAAGGCTTTGTTGGATCAGTTTTATGTATAGGAGCTAGCAGTGTTCCCAAATGTGGGATATGTGTCCTTCAAAACCCAAGTAAACTGACCAGTTGCTGGTCTTCTAACATGTTTTGTCCACCAGTCCCCATCACCATTGCCTGGAGGTAGACATCAATGGCTTGTTTTATAGCTGGCTAGGTAAGCGTCCCCGGTCAGACACAATGTCTATCTCAGGATGCACTCTGGTCAAGGAGACAGCCACGGCGTCTGCTCACACATCCCACTGCTCATCTAAATGTTCACCTTAATCCCATCAGCCATTGCATTTCTGTATTCTCCCAACCCAACTGTAGCTTCATTAGGACTTTACCAAAAAGCTTTTGGAATCACAGTGCATTGGGATCTCATAAGAAAAGTGCTTGGGTGACACATGGGCCCAAGAACATGGATGCCAACTTACCAAAGCAGATCTGGCTGCTGCTGCCTCAGCAATGGAGGAACACTGAGCCAAGTACATCACTGGCCACTGGCAGCAAGGGAACTACTGTGTTGGCCCCCTTCCATCTTGGGATATAAGCACTCTCTGAGGGCTTATAGAGTGTCTGACCCTCTAGCATCCTGTACAATCTGGGTCTGATCCACAGTGAAGCAGCTGAAAGACTAGCCCATGACCATGGAACCTACTGTTCATGCACAAACTACATGACCCAGAGGCAGCCAGCCTCATAGAGCGTGTGAACAGCTTTCTAAAGGTGAGTGAAACACGGGCTTGAGGGAATCATTATAAAACAATGGGGTGCTATCCTGTAGGATGCACCCCATTAAATCTGAGACCCCATATATGTTCTAAAGGAAGGATAAGCTGACTAGGATCCAAGGAATGAAAGGCGTAGCCCCATTTGTCATGACCCCACTGGCCACTGAGTGATTTTGTTCTTCCTATCTCTGCAATTCTGGACTGTCCAGGGTTGGAGGTCCTAATCATTAAAGGGGCACAATCTTCCTGGGGGAAATGGCAAAGTCCAACTGACACAAATGGCTGTTGCTCTTAGATCTTCTGATTCTCTGGACTAGTAGGTAAGGAATGGATCCCCATACTGATGGAGTAATTGCCCTTGGGCAGCAGAAGAAACAGGGATGCCTGGACACAATGGGAGCAGGGAGGAGTACGAGGAGAACTGAAATGATCTCAAGTGTTCTTGCCTCATTGTACCTGTAAACAGATCTGTGCACAGCCCCAGACCAGCACCATGGTCAAGGTGTCAAATACCAAGCTACCAAAGATCCCTCAGAATGAAGATTTGTGTTAAACTGTCAGGTGAGTCCCCAATACTCGATAAGGTGATAACTAAGGGCAAGGGCACTTTTGATAGTGGGGGAGGGAGAGGAAGAGTACCAGTGGTTGCCTCTGGTCCAATGCAGTGACAGAAGCTGTGGCTCACTCCACTCACTTTCTTTTCTGAGTTTTTTCTCTCATATAGATGGGTCCAACCAACCCTGCATGGAGAAATAGGATGCCCTAAGAATGCACCTGGCAGACCTCCAACTATGGGAGTGTAACTGACCATGGGTCCCACCTGCCAAGCTTGGAAAGCCTCTGCCATGTGTAAGCTTGTGCTTCCATGGGAAGTTCCCAGCTAGGGACCAAGTCAACCAGAAACACAGGCAGGCCCTTCCTGCAGACTCGGACTCCTCTGTGGCTAACTGGGTTGAGGGCTGTGGGCACTGCTGCTGAACCTTCCTTAGACAATGGCGGGAAGGGCCATGGCCTCCCAGGGTTCCTTCCCTCCCCTCAGATCAGACTGCTCTCACACTTACCCAGACCCCTCTGGGCATCCGTTTTTTTGAAAGAGCTGAATTTGCATGCGCACGCTCACATGAATAATGCTAAAGAGATATTTACTCTGTGTTCTCATCTCTGTTATAAACTCATCTAAATAAAAAGGTTCCAGTTACCAGGAGAGAGACTAGTTTTCCTTTGGGGGTTGGATTCCAGGAGTCTATGACCTGCCTTCTGTGTAAATCAACCGTGGCTGCCTTTTCTCACTGAACAGCCCATATGCAGATCGATCCCAGGAGTGGGGTGTTCAGAATGGCAGACCCTAACTGTGGATTGGCCAAACTGTGGTCAGAAGTGAAAGCTTCCCTAGAAATGATAACTTTTTAAAATGTATTTTTACTGATTTCAGAGAGGAAGGGTGAGGGAGAGATAGAAACATCAATGATGAAAATCATTGATTGGCTGCCTCCTACATGTCCCCTACTGGGGATCAAGCCCACAACCCAGGCATGTGCCCTGACTGGGAATCTAACAGTTACCTCCTTGTTCAAAGGTCATAACTCAATCACTGAGCTATAACAGCGGGGCAGGAATTTTTTGTCTGGTGACAAAGAGCAGTCAGTCTGCCTATCGTATCTTGGGAGAAAAAACTAAGGAGGGTGGATTGCGTTGCCACCTCATTCTGCTGTCCTTTCATCCTGTAAGAAAAAAGATAAGCTAAGTTTGAAACCTGTCAATCTGACAGCATCCAAGGATGAAAATATGAGGGGTTTATTGTGGCTCTTCTCTCTTCTTTTTCTACCAGGGACATAGGGGGTGGGAGGCTTACCATCAGGAGCCACCTCCACATTTCACATTCACCAGAGATCCTCGACTCAGAAGACACTGTGCGCTGTGTGCTTCTCACAGGTGTGTATTGTTAAGTGTTCACTGTGGTGAGAAAACTTACTGAATAATCAATGGAACACTCACTAGAGAGAACCCTGATTACCAAGGACCAAAAGTGGAGACCACACAGAGGCTGGTAGGAGGGGCAGAGGTGCAAAAGGGCTGGCTGGGCCCCACAGACAGCAACTGAAGTCCCAGAGAGATATCTCAGCTATAGGGGGTTGCCAATGAGAACTCTGGGGTCTAATTCCCAAGCTGAGCCCCCCAGCAGAGAGCAACAGAACTGAGAAGGGTACCCACATAATATTTGGCTGTGAAGAGCAGTGGGGTAGCTGTCTACCAGGGAGAGATGGCTGAAAATTCATGCATCCTCTTAAAGGGCTAATGCATAAAATTCCCTGTGGAGCCACCCATCTTGTGCTCTGACAGAAGAACAGCAGAGTGGACTGGAGCTGGGTGAGCAGAAGCCAGGATAGAGGGCTCTGGGGTTAGAGCTCAGAAGGCAGACACCCCAGTTTCCTGTGCTGAGCCATTTCCTCAGGCTGAAGAGGTAATCTTTCTCATGCAGACAATTGCTATGCAGGTGCCATTGCCTGGAAGGAAGAAAGCTGACACACCCTATTGGAAAATACTTTGCCCCTTAAGAGACTGAGAATAACAATTAGCCTCCAGAAACAATTAACCCACCCTGTTGAAAAAAACTGTTGCCACATCTGTGGATGATTGCCTGAGGGAAGATCAAGAGCAGTGGTTTTCAACCTTGGCTGCACATTAGAATCACCTGGGAATCTTTTTAAAATCCTGATTTCTGGGCCTCATCCTCCAAAATTCTGTTTCTTTGTTACTAATGTTGTGGCCCCACCCCATAACAAGGAAACAGAATTTCCGGAGGATGAGGCCCAGAAATCAGGATTTTAAAAAGATTCCCAGGTGATTCTAATGTGCAGCCAAGGTTGAGAACCACTGATCAAGAGGAATTCTATCAGTCTTCAGCCAGAGGTGGTCTCTGGAGCCTTTGAGTCCTTGCCTGAGCTAATTGGTCAGAAACAGTGTTTCACACTGTCCTGCACTAGAGATTGGGAGGCATAGCAGATCTACCTAATACATAGTCACAAACCCAAACAGGTAGCCAAAATGAGGCAACAAAGAAACTACCCACAAATGAAAGAACCAGAGAATTATTGAGAAGATATAAATGAATGGAGATAAGAAACTTATATGAAACAGACTTCAGAATAATCATAGTAAAGATGTTCAACAGCATGAGAAAGAATATAGTAATTATGAAAAACAGTTGGGAATAAAGATTGATATAGCAAAAATAAAAAAATACATTGGAATGAATACACAGCAGATTAGGGGAGTCTGAGGATCAGATCAGTGAGTTAGAAGACAGGATTGAAAAAAATCAATCAGAGAACCAAAAAGAAAAAAAAAAAAAACAATTAAGAAACAGGACAGCTTAAGGGAGCTGTGGGACAATGTGAAACATAACAATATTAGAATAGCAGGTGTTCCAGAAGAGGCAGAAAGGGAGAAAGGGACAGAGAATGTGTTTGAAGAAATAATGGCAGAAAACTTCCCTAAGCTGGTGAGGAAAAAGTCACACAAGTTCAGGAGGCACAGAGAACCCCAAGCAAGAAGAACCCAAACAGGCCCATGCCCAGACACATCATAATTAAAATGCCAAAAATTAAAGAAAAATAATCTTAAAAATAGCAAGAGAAAAGCACACTGTTACCTACAAAGGAGTTTCCATAATGCTAACACCTGATTTCTCATCAGAAACTCTACAGATCAGAGGGAATGGCATGAAGTACTCAAGGTAATGGAAAGCAAGGATGTGAAACCAAGATTACAATATCCAGCAAGGCTATAATTAAAATAGACAGTCAAATAAAGAGTTTCCCAGACCAAAAAAAAAAAAAAAGGCTAAATGAATACATCACCACCAAGAAATGCTAAAGGGACTGGTGTGATGAGAATAAGAAATCAAGAGAAAAACCTAGACATATAGAATTAAAATGGCAAAAAACAAATACCTATCAATAATAACCTTAAATGTAAATGGATTAAATGCTCCAATCAAAAGACAAAGGGATGCTGAATGGATACAAAAACATGACACAACTATATGCTGTCTACAAGAGACCCACCACAGAACAAAAGACACACACAAGATGACAGTGAAGGGTTGGAAAAAAATTTTCCATGCAAGTGGAAAAGAAAAAAACTGGAGTAGCAACACTCATATCTGACAAAATAGACTTTGAAATGAAGGCCATCACAAGAGACAACAAAGGACACTACATAATACTAAAGGGGTCAATCCAACAAGAGGATATAACCCTGGTAAACATATATGCACCCAACATAAGAGCACCTAAATATATTAAAAAACTTCTAGAGGACTTTAGAGTAGAGATTAAAAACTAAGATCATAGTAGGGGACTTTAACACCCTGCTGACTTCACTAGATAGATTTTCCAGACAAAAAATTAACAAGGAAACTGTGACTCTAAAGGACACACTGGATCAAATGGATTTAATTGACATTTATAGAACACTTCACCCCAAAGCTACAGAATATACATTCTTCTCAAGTGCACATGGATCATTCACAAAGATAGACCACATATTAGGACACAAAACAAGTCTCTACAAGTTCTAGAATATTGAAATCATATCAAGCATCTTCTCAGATCACAGAGGAATGAAATTAGAAATCAACTACAGTAAAAACACCCAAAAACATTCAAAAACATGGAGGCTAAATAGCCTGTTATTAAACAATGAATGGGTTACCAACAAGATCAAGAAAGAAACAAAAAACTTACTGGAAACAAATGAAAATGAACACACAACAACCCAAGATCTCTGGGACACAGCAAAAGCAGTCCTGAGAGGGAAGTTCATAGTGGTACAAGCTTACCTCAAAAAAACAAACAAACAAAAAACCACCACAAAACAACAAAAAACCAAAACACACATACTCACACACAAAACAACAACAGCAACAACAACAGCAACAACAACAACAAAACACAAGAAAAATCAACAATAAACTATTTACCCTACAACTTGAACTAGAAAGAGAAAAACAATAAAGCCCAGAGTAAGTAAAAGGAAGGAACTAATAAAGATTAGAGCAGAAATAAATGACATAGAGAAAAAAAAGACAATATAAAAAAATCAATGAAACCAAGAGCTGATTCTTTGAAAGGATAAACAAGATCGATGAATCAGCCAGACTCATAAAGAAACAAAGAGAGAGGACCCAAATAAATAAAATCAGAAATGAAAGTGGAGAAGTAACTACTGACACCACAGAAATACAAAAGATTATAAGAAAATACTATGAACAACTATATGCCAACAAGCTGGACAATGAGGATGAAATGGACAAATTCCTAGAAAAACACCATCTCCCCAAACTGAATCAGTTAGAAGCAGAAAATCTGAATAGGCCAATATCAACTGATGAAATAGAGGCAGTAATAAAAAACTCCCAGCAAACAAAAGCCCCAGTCCGAATGGCTTCACAGAGGAGTTTTACCAAACATTCAAAGAAGAACTAACACCTATACTCCTCAAATTATTACAAAAAATTCCCAAGCAAGGAACACTTCCAAGCTCTTTTTATGAAAGCAGCATTATCTTAATTCCAAAACCAGATAAAGACACTACAATGAAAGAGAATTACAGGCCAATATTTCTGATGAACATAGATGCTAAAATCCTCAACAAAATATTAGCTAATCACATCCAGCAATATATTAAAAAGATCATACACCATGACCAAGTGGGATTTATTCCAGGGATGCAAGGCTGGTACAATATTCATAAACCAATAAATGTGATACATCACATAAATTGAAAGACAAAAATCACATGATCATATCAATAGATGCAGAAAAAGCATTCTACAAAATCCAGCACCCATTTTTTTTTTTATAAAAACCCTCAGCAAAGTGGGAATAGAGGGAGCATATGTCAACATGATAAAGGCCATAATGACAAAACTATAGCCGACATTATACTCAATGGGCAAAAACTAAAACAATTTCCCCTAAGAACATCAGCAAGAGAGAGATGCCTGCTTTCACCACTCTTATTCAACACAGTACTGGAAGTCCTAGCCACAGTCATCAGACAAGAAGAAGAAAAGGCACCCAAATTGGAAAGGAGGAAGTAAAACTCATTAGCTACAGATGACATGATTTTGTACATAGAAAACCCTAAAGACTCCACTAAAAAATTACTAGATTTAATAAATGAAGTTAGCATGTAGCAGGATACAAAATCAACACCCCAAAATCAATGGCTTTTTTATATACCAATAATGAATTCTCAGAAAGAGAAACTAAAAAAATAATCTCATTTACCATTGCAACAAAAAAATTAAGATACTTAGGAATAAACTTAACCAAGGAGGCAAAACACCTGTTCTTGGAAATCAACAGGACGTTGAAATAAGACATAGAAGAAGATATAAACAAGAGGAAGAATATACCATGTTCATGGATTGGTAGAATTAACATCAATAAAAAGTTCTTACTACCCAACCCAATCTACAGATTCAATGCAATCCTTATTAAAATACCGATAGCATACTTCACAGAGCTAGAACAAAGACTCCAAAAATTTATATGGAATCAAAAAAGATCCTGAATAGCTTCAGCAATCTTGAGAAAGAAAAACAAAGTTGGAGGAATCACAATACCAGATACCATGTTATACTCCAAAGCCACCTTAATCAAAACAGCATAGTACTTACTGGCACAAGAACAGGCATATAGACCAAAGGATCAGAACAGAGATCCCAGAAATCAATTCAAGAGATTATGCTCAATTAATATTTGGCAAAGGAGGCAAGAACATACAATGGAGTCAAGAGAGTCTCTTTAATAAATGGTGTTGAGAAAATTGGACAGATACATGAAAAAAATGAAACTAGACCACCAACTTACACCATACATAAGAATAAACTCAAATGGATAAAAGACTTAAATGTAAGTCATGAAACCATAAAAGTCCTAGAAGAAGCCATAGGCAGCAAAATCTCAGACATCTCTCCTAGCAAAATGTTTATGGATGCATCTCCTAGGACAATGGAAATTAAGGAGAAAATAAAAAAAAATGGGACTACATCAAAATAAAAAGCTTCTGCATAGCAAAAGAAACCATCAACAAAATGGAAAGGGAGCCCACTGTATGGAAGAACATATTTGGCAATGATACATCTGATAAAGGGTTAATATCCAAAATACTAGTATATAAGGATCTCATACAACTTAACAAAAGGAAGACAATCAATCCAATTAAAAAATGGGCAAAGGACCTAAATAGACACTTTTCCAAAGAGAACATACAGATGGCCAAGAGACATATGAAAAAATGCTCAGTGTCGCTGACCATCAGAGAGATGCAAATTAAAATGACAATGAAGTAACACCTCACATCTGTCAGAATGGCTACCATCAACAAATCATAAGTGCTGGCGAGGATGTGGAGAAAAGGGAACCCTAGTACACTGCTGGTGGGAATGCAGACTGGTGCAACTATCATGGAAAACAATGTGGAGTTTCCTCAAAAAATTAAATATGGAACTGCCATTTGACCTAGTGGTCCTACTTCTAGGAATATATCCTAAGAAACCAGAAGCACCAATCAGAAAGAATGTATGCACCCTTATATTCATAGCAGCACAATTTACAATAGCTAAGATCTGGAAACAAACCAAGTGCCCATCAGTAGATGAGTGGATAAAAAAGCTGTGGTACATTTATACCATGGAATGCTATGCAGCAGTAAAAAAGAAGGATCTCTTACCCTTTGAGACAGCATGGAGAGACCTGGAGAGTATCATGCTAAGAGAGGCAAGTCAGTCAGATAAAGACAAGTATTACATGATCTCACTCATATGTGAAATCTAAGTAACAAAATAAACTGATGAACAGAGTGGATCCAGACTCATGGAAGCATGGAACAGAGTGCAGAATCTCAAAGGGAAGGCTGGGGGGAGTTAGCAGGTGGGGAGTAATTAACCAAAGACCTTGTATGCATATATGCATAACCCATGGGCACAGACAGTAGGGTGCTGATGACCCGGGTGGGGGGGTGTGGTTTGAAGGGAGTGAATGTGGGAAAGAGTTCACTGTGGGAGAAAGGGCCCCTGGTGTTGGAGTTTGACGGCTGGGCTGTTGAGAACACCTGCCAGCACAGCATCAAATCCCCTTCTTTGAGTTCAGTGCCTCACTCTTTGTTGGGGAACTACTCCCCTCTCCCCCTGCACAGTGGCATCCATATGTGTTGGACCTAAGTGGACTAGCTGTCGTGTTCCTGGCTACTATGACTGGTTGCAGAATGTGCCCTGATGCCATTGAGGCAATGAGGTGCTGAGACCCTTGCTGGGAATACTGGGATGGAGGTGATATTCTTGTCCCTTGACCTTGAATCTAAGGAATATCAGGCCTGGAGCTGCTGCCTCCACATTGCTGCAGGTAAAGGGTAAAACAGAAGCCAGCACTGCTAAAAGCAAAGTAGAGCTGGATAAATAGTCCTGGCTACTAGCAGCGCCTGAGCCTGAGCCCCAAGCCCTGCCAGGCCACAAACCTTTGACTTTTCTGTCATTACCTTCTTTTCTGTGTAAGCTAATTTCGTTGAGTGTTCTGTCAAATGCAGCAGGTATGTCCAACATAATACAGTGTCAAGTAGGGAGGGCATGGCAGGCAAGGCCACATCATGTGCAAAGCTTCTGAGAAGTGGGAGGCTGGTGTGCCTGAGGCTTCATGAAAGGCGATTGGCATGATTAGAGGGTGGAATTGGAGCTGGGCAAGGCCAGAGGGGATGTGCTAGACCTTGGATAGGACATTGATCTAATCCTTAGGGTGACAGCGAGCTGAAGCATTGTTGGGTGGTCAGTTTTGCACTTTGCAGATGTCCCCCTGGCTGCCCTCTGGAGAATGGAGTACGGGACTGGGCAGGTTCCTGAAGAAGTTGATCCCTTGGGGATATTAGGGCCCTTGGATGCTGGTCTTATCACTTCAACCCTATCTCATGTCCAGGCCCCTATCTTATCTCAGGGACAAGCCAAGGACTTGCTCATCAGACTAGACCCATCTGAACCAGAACTGCAATATTTGTACTCATGCTTTCTGCATCCTCTCTGCTCTCCAGGCCCCAGGGAGGGGCAACAGTGCATTGTCTTGAGTCAGGTGGAGCACAGCACCCCACCCCCACCCCCACCACACACACACACACACACACACACACACACACACACACACAGTCCCAGATCTTTCAGGCGGCCCCCACCCTGCCTGCTGGCCCCCTCTGCTGAGGCCTCCTGCTGCCTGCAGGGCCCAGTCTGTGTCAGTCTGCTTGCTCTCTGGACAGAGCCAGCCTGGAGCCAGCTAGAGACAGGCACACCTGCAGGGGGAGAGTATGCCGATGCTCACCAGCATGGCAGGAGGGATGGCCAATGTGTCTCTCACAGAGGGCCATGTAGGGAGCACCTGGGGCTGCTGGCCTTTCTGCTGTGTTGTTTTTCAGACCCACATAACTGCCTCTGGGGACTGTATCGATACTCCATCCTGCTCCTCAGGCCTCCACTCGAACATCTTGGTTGTGTCTCTGTGTTAAAAGGAGCTTTAGAAAATTAGTGCTGTGGCTTGGTGTACAGGTAACTTTTAAATTACCTTTTTATTTTAGAAGAGGTTTAGATTTATAGATAAAGTGCAAAGAAAGCACAGAGTTCCTGCACACTGGCACCCACCCAATTTAATTGTTAGCATATTACATTATCATACACACTTGTCACAATGAATGAACCAATATTGAACTAGAGCCCATAGTTTATTCAGATTCCCCCTATGTCCTTTTCTGTCCTGGCTAGACGATTGCTCAGCCCTTGGTGGTAAGGTGGCTGGTTAGGACTGTCAGACACCCTCTCCTGGGTGTGGCTGATGCTTTCCTAGGGGCTAGAACAGTGATGGTGAACCTCTTGAGCTCGGCGTGTCAGCATTTTGAAAAACCCTAACAACTCTGGTGCTGTGTCACATATAGAAATTTGTTGATATTTGCAACCATAGTAAAACAAATATTTATATTTTTGATATTTATTTTATATATTTAAATGCCATTTAACAAAGAAAAATCAACCAAAAAAATGAGTTCACGTGTCACCTCTGACACGCGTGTCAGAGGTTCACCATCACTGGGCTAGACTGAGATAGTGGGTTTAGGGGAAAGACCACACCATGTCAAGGGAACATGAAGTTCATAGGACATGTCACTATGATATTGACCTTGATCAACTAGCTGAGGTCATGTTGGACGGGTTTCTTGGATGTAAAGTGGCTTTTTCTTCCTCCACCTCCCATACTACATCCTTTTATGCACATATTTTAATTCTTTAATGGTCTTGGGGTATAGGCATCATTCAGTTACTTAATTGTTCTTCATTCAGCACCATTTTAAACTTTTAAAAATATTTTTATTGATTTCAGAGAGAGAGAGATAGAGAGATAGAAACAATGATGAGAGAAAAATCATTGATTGGCTGCCTCCTGCACGTCCCACAATGGGGATTGAGCCCGCAACCTGGGCATGTGCCCGTGGCTGGAATCAAACCTGGGACCCTTTAGTCTGTAGGCCGGCACTCTATCCACTGAGCCAAACCAGTTAGGGTCCATTTTAAACTTTTATTATTGCTGTGTGCATCTGGTCTGTGCTGCAGAGCCTTCTGCAGGACCAACAACTGGCCCCAGTGATGACATCCAGGCTGCCCCGAATACCGACCCTCAGACTGTGCCACAGTGAACATCCTTGCCCTTGGGGCCTGTTTCAGGACTTCTCTGGACACAGAACTAGGAGTAAAGTGCTGGTCAGCAGGTGTCTGCCCTGCAGAAAGGTGGCACCAGTCCGCCTCCTGCAGCCCATGTCCCCATCGATAGCTCACTTCCTGACACGGGCCACGCTGATAGCGTACAGTGCTGCCTGCCTAGTACAGGTAGGTGTCTGGTCACCACACACGGGCACCCCTATGAGGCTTGCTTCATCCAAGTCATTGAGCCACACCAACCACAAACCAGAGTCCCCTCTGGCGAGCTGAGGACCCACATGCTCTATTGCTTGACTGGCACAATATTTAGAATTTTTTTTTTTGAGCCAACATGTAAACATTGAATAATTTCACATCAACATTTAAGTTTTGAGCTAGAAATCCCAGATTTCCTCCTTCTCATGGTTTTCCAGAGTAAAGCTGTTCTCTTAAAATATATGGGTTTGATAGTTTCCATGACCTCTTAAAACCTCATGGCTTCTGCAGAATAGGCTCAGATTATCGCAAAGCCCTTTTCTTACAGGGAGAGCTGACCTGCCACGGGCCAGGCGGCCTGGCTGGAGGTGGAGCACCTGTCACTATACTAGCTGTGCCTGGTGAGTCTGGACATAGGATGGGGCCCTTGGAGTTCATCTTATTCAGATTTCCTGATTTTGTGAGACAGGCATTTCCCCCTCCTGCTTCTCTGCAAGCCATAGGATGGAGGTGGCACCTTCCAACATCTGTGGGGCAATGGTGCCCCCTTGTGGCTGCAGCTCCAACCCAGCGGCTCTGCTCACTGCCAATGGAAAGGGGTGGATTTGGACCCCTGGGCATGGGGGAAAGGTATTTCTGGTGGCCAGGAGAGTCACGGTATCTCATGGGGCACACTAGAGGCCCTGCCCATGAGTGGAGTGAAGGATGCATCGGAAGCAGAGGCTGTGGAGATCTGAGGGAGGCCAGATGGGGAGGGCAGTGGATGATGAGTGAGGACTGGTTCTTGAGGGGATATGGCCTAGGTCAGTGGTCAGCAAACTCATTAGTCAACAGAGCCAAATATCAACAGTACAATGATGGAAATTCCTTTTGAAAGCCAAATGTTTTAAACTTAAACTATATAGGTAGGTACATTGTTATTAACTTAATTAGGGTACTCCTAAGCTGGCCTTTGCTAAAAACGTCCTCAATCTGATTGAGATACCTTTGCTGAGGTCGACCCCTTCCAACTCTCCCATCCTCAACTCGTGCATGAATCGCGCGCGCGCCTCCCCCCGCGCTGCGTGTCCCTCCGCCCGCCTGCGCCCGAGGTCTTCTAACACCGCTTCTTCAAAATAGACTCGTCCAGGCCGAAAACCGACTTCTGCACATGGGCCATGAAGTTTCAGTCCCACTGTATGTGCACGCCCGCACGTGGTATTTTGTGGAAGAGCCACACTCAAGGGGCCAAAGAGCCGCATGTGGCTCGCAGCCGTGGTTTGCTGACCACTGACTTCGGTGGTGTCCTGACTTTGGCAGAGTGGCCAACTCTCCTTGAGCAACAAGTGTGTCCCTTGCCCCAAGACAGTATTCTCTTTAGGGTCAGCTCCTGTGGGATCAAGAATTCCCACCCACAAGATTTTCCTGACAAACGAACTTACTGACCTCCCCTGCCATGGGTGGGACCACCATTAATGGCCAAGTGCTTTAATGGTGGAACTGTGGGCAAAGGGCATCGCCCAGAGAACTGAGATGACCGTTCCACAAACCTCTACTCAGCAGCCTCTGTGAGTGGGGCTCTGTGTCACTAACTTGGGACAGAGGTGAAAACTGAGGCTCAGAGAAAGCAGGTGACTTGCCTAAGTTCACAAGGATATTTGAACCCAGGTGTGCTTGACTGCAAAAGTTCATTGCTCAAGAGAATGCGAAGATAAGCAACAAACTGGTAGAAAGTATTTGTGAAAGACATAGTTGATAAAGGACAGTTATCCAAAAATTACAAAGAACTCTGAAAAGTCAACAATAAGAAAACAAATAACCTGATTTTAAAATGGGCAAACGAGCCCTGGCCGTTGTGGCTCAGTTGGTTGAGTATTGTTCCCTGCACTGAAAGGTTCCCAGTTCAATTCCCAGTCAGGGCACATACCCAGATTGCAGTTCCACCCCTGGTCGGGGTGCATGCAGGAGGCAGCCAATTGGCATTTCTCTCTCACATTGATGTCTCTCTCTCTCTTTCTCTCTCTCTCTCTCTCTCTCTCTCTCTCTCTCTCTCTCATCAATAAAAATATATATTTTTAAAAAGGGCAAATGACCTTAAGATACATATCACTAAAGAAGATTTATAGATGACAAGCATATGAGAACATGCTCCTTATCATATGTCAGCAGGAAAATGCAAATTAAAACAAGGAGATATCACTATCTGCCTACTAAAATGGCCAAACTCTCAAACACTGACAACAAATGCTGCTGAGGATGTGGAGTAACAGGTACTCTCATTCCTTGCTGGTGGGAATGCTAAATGGCACAGCCACTATGGGCAACAGTTTGCCAGGTTCTTACAAAACTAAACATACTCTCGCAATCCAGCAATTGCACTCCTTGGTATTTATCTATGAGTGGAAACCTTACATCCACACAAAAACCTGCACACAGATATTTATAGCAACTTTCTTCATAGTTGCCAAAACTTAGGAGCAATCAGCATGTCCTTCAGCAGTGATGGATAAATAAACTGGTTCATTCAGACAATGGAACATTATTCAATGCTAAAAAGGAATGAGCTACTAAGTCATGAAAAAACATGGAAGAACCTTAAATTCACATTATTAAGTCTAAGGAGCCACTCTGAAAAGGCTACATACTGTCTGATCCCAACTACAGACTTACTGGAAAAAGCAAAACTATGGAGACAGCAAAAAGATCAGTGGTTGCCAGGAGTTAGGGAAGAGGGCGGGATGAACAGGCAGAGTACGGAGGGTTTTTGGGGGAGTGAAACTGCTCTGTATACTATAATGATAGACATGTCTTTATGCATTTTCAAAACCCTCAGAATATATAACACCAAGAGTGAGCCCAGTGTGAACTAAGGACTTTGGATGATAATGGTAGGTTAATGTAGACTCTCGATGGTGGGGGGACTGCATGTGTGATGCTGGGGAGACTGCATGTGATGGTGAGGAGACTGCATGTGATGATAGGGAGACTGCATGTGATGGTGAGGAGGCTGCATGTGTGATGTTGGGGAGGCTGCCTGTGATGGTGAGGAGGCTGCATGTGTGATGTTGGGGAGACTGCATGTGATGATAGGGAGACTGCATGTGATGGTGGGGAGACTGCATGTGTGATGATAGGGAGACTGCATGTGATGGTGGGGAGACTGCATGTGTGATGCTGGGGAGACTGCATGTGATGGTGAGGAGGCTGCATGTGTGATGTTGGAGAGACTGCATGTGATGATAGGGAGACTGCATGTGATGGTGAGGAGACTGCATGTGATGGTGAGGAGACTGCATGTGTGATGTTGGGGAGACTGCATGTGATGATAGGGAGACTGCATGTGATGGTGGGGAGACTGCATGTGTGATGATAGGGAGACTGCATGTGATGGTGGGGAGACTGCATGTGTGATGCTGGGGAGACTGCATGTGATGGTGAGGAGGCTGCATGTGTGATGTTGGAGAGACTGCATGTGATGATAGGGAGACTGCATGTGATGGTGAGGAGACTGCATGTGATGGTGAGGAGACTGCATGTGTGATGTTGGGGAGACTGCATGTGATGATAGGGAGACTGCATGCGATGGTGAGGAGGCTGCATGTGTGATGTTGGGGAGACTGCATGTGATGGTGAGGAGGCTGCATGTGTGATGTTGGGGAGACTGCATGTGATGGTGGGGAGACTGCATGTGTGATGGTGAGGAGACTGTATGTGTGATGTTGGGGAGACTGCATGTGTGATGGTGAGGAGACTGCATGTGATGATAGGGAGACTGCATGTGTGATGTTGGGGAGACTGCATGTGATGGTGAGGAGGCTGCATGTGTGATGTTGGGGAGACTGCATGTGATGGTGGGGAGACTGCATGTGTGATGGTGAGGAGACTGTATGTGTGATGTTGGGGAGACTGCATGTGTGATGGTGAGGAGACTGCATGTGATGATAGGGAGACTGCATGTGTGATGGTGAGGAGACTGCATGTGATGGTGGGGAGACTGCATGTGATGGTGAGGAGACTGCATGTGTGATGCTGGGGAGACTGCATGTGATGGTGAGGAGGCTGCATGTGTGATGTTGGGGAGACTGCATGTGATGGTGAGGAGACTGCATGTGTGATGTTGGGGAGACTGCATGTGATGATAGGGAGACTGCATGTGATGATGAGGAGACTGCATGTGTGATGCTGGGGAGACTGCATGTGATGGTGAGGAGACTACATGTGTGATGTTGAGGAGACTGCATGTGATGATAGGGAGACTGCATGTGATGGTGAGAAGACTGCATGTAATGGTAGGTGTATAGGGCAATCTACCCTTTCCATGTAATATTGCTGTGAACCTAAGACTACTCTGAAAAATAGTCTTTTACAAAAGGGCTTATTGCCCTAACCGGTTTGGCTCAGTGGATAGAGTGTTGGCCTCCTGACTGAAGGGTCCCAGGTTCGATTCCGGTCAAGGGCATGTTCCTTGGTTGTGGGCACATCCCCAGTAGGGAGTGTGCAGGAGGCAGCTAAATCGATGTTTCTCTCTTATCGATGTTTCTAACTCTCTATCCCTCTCCCTCTCCCTTCCTCTCTCTAAAAAAATCAATAAAATATATATTTTTAAAAAATGGCTTATTGCATTGCCTTATTGAACTGTCACTACAATTATGAGGAAACTTCAGGGGGCTGTGGACACTTGAGGGCTCTTACACTGCCATTAGGGGAGGCTTCCTGGAGGAGGTGTTGCCTCTAGTGCTTTAAAGGTCCAGGTAGAGAAGCAGGGAGGGCATTCCAGGCAGAGGAACCAGCAAGTACAAAGGCATCAGATTATGAGGTGTTGGAGGAGCAGCGGAAGTTGTGAGGTGCAGAGTGGGGGTGCTTGTGCAGAACTGATTTGCAGGTGGTGGGCCAGAGGACTCTGGCTACTTCCCTAGAGCCTCATGGAACTGGCCCAGAGTCAAAGTGAAGTATGGTTTTGTGGAGGCTCCTCTGGGCCACCGGGTGTAGTCAGGGACACTTGACCCTAGCTTGCAGAGCTATAGGCAGCCCTGCAGGCACAAACAGGGGAGTGGTGTGCTAGGCTCAGCTAGCGAAGTCCCAGGACCTGGAAAGAAATCAGATTTGTGAATACAGTGGTGCAAAAATGACATCTTTTGTTTGTCACTAACCCCTAATGGAAATGTAGTTTCCTTTCATTATGTATGCAGGCAACAAACCACAGTAGCATTAGCTGTGTTCACATCACATTTCATATATCTCAAAATATCGCTTATGTTCAGCAGTACTTTAAAATCGCTGTGAGTGATAGACTTGTTGCTTGACTGTGTTATTAATTGTGTTAGGGAGGGTGGGGGTAAGGGGGAGAGATCAACCAAAGGACTGGTATGCATGCATATAAGCCTAACAAATGGACACAGACAACAGGGGGGTGATGGCATGAGTGGGTGGGGGTGCGGGGATGGGGAGGAGGTAATGCGGGGATAAGGACACATATGTAATACCTTAATCAATAAAGAAATTTTTTTAAAAAAATTCAATGGGGAAAATACCCTCATGAAAGGATTAAAGAGAGAGAGAGAGAGCGAGCGAGCGAGAGAGGCTGTAGATAAGAAGTGGATGGTTCAGCAGGGAAAGGGGATGCTTGCTCCATAGTGTAAGTACCTGGTAAGGGGGTAGGGAGTGAAAATCAGAGCACCAGGGAAGGAGCTGCCTTAAACAGAAAGAGAAACGCTGTAACTGAAAAGGAGGAAAAGCGTGTACAGGTCAAATGGAGAATAGAGATTGGAATAAAGATGGGCCTGCAGGAGCCAGTACAACCATATAGTTTCGAACTGGGAGCACTCACCCTGTTCGAGTCTGAAATGGGAAAGCTCTCTGTGATGGAAATGTTCATTATCTTGACTGTGGTGGTTTCACAGGCACAAACACACGTTAAAACTCATCAAAATGTACACTTTAAATCATGCAAATTTATGGTACATCAATTATACCTCAATAAAATTGTGACAAATTTCAGAAAGAAAGAAAGAAAGAAAGGAAGGAAGAAAGGAAGAAAGAAGCCCACATAGTGCTAGACTTCTTTTCAGTATTTCTGGTAACTACAATTACAATGTAATTGGCATTTAAAAACCTACAGATTCCTCCACCCTGCCAAAGAGATTTCTGGCACATTCATGAACACACAAAGATGTACATAGATACACAATGCACATATGTACATGTGAAACAAACATGCACACACAGATATGCATGCAAATGCACACACATGCACATACAGGAAAGCACACACGCACACACGACACATACATGCACACACATATGCACACATTCTCATGTAAATGCACTTATCTGGGTACATACAAACAGGCACACCACAGCATGTACACACAAAACATACACATGTACACATAAGCACATGCACATGTGAATGCACACACATGCAGACACACAAACATACACATATGGACATGTAAAAGCTCACACATGCATGCACAGGGATGCACACATGCATGCACACATACACAGACACACATGCAAATGTACGTATTCAGGCACACACAAACATGCACATGTGCACACATGTGCATGTACATAAGCACACATGTAGGCAAATGTTCATATGCACAGAGGCACACACTTCTGCACACAAAAACACGCATGCATGCACAAACATACACATAAACATAGGCATGTATACACACAACACACACACACTCACATACAATGGTTGAGAAACCCTCTCAAGAGGAAAGGGAATACCAGCAATGTGACCCTGATCATATATTTATTGTCTGGACCTGCACATTTGAGTGCGAAAGGGGCACTAATTGGGCTGGGACTATGGGCATAAACAGATTCTCCTGAGCATACTAGGGCAGGGCTACCCTGGGTCTGGGGCCTGCAGGGCATTTATGCTCCTGTCCGTACTTGCATTTCTGTGGACAAGTGAGCCTGAGTTGGAGTACATCTGAGGTGTGTGTGTGTGTGTGTGTGTGTGTGTGTGTGTGTTTAGGGGGTTCTAATCTCTTGTGCTTGGGTTCATGTTCAGTCTGGTCATTCTGGCCCTCAGAGGAGACTTGCCTAGGTGTTTACAGGGATGGCCAGTGATATGGGAATGGGGTCTGCCTTGCTTCTGCTGAGGGAGGTAGGTGGGCTACATGTTTAGTCTTCTTGCTTCACCAAACTTGTCCTCCCTTCCATGATTATCCTCATTTTGCAGATGAAAAACTGAGGCCCAGACAGTTGAATACTTTCCCCAGGCCACCCAGGGAGTCCAGCCATGGATGATGAGGGGCAGAACACCTGGTATTCTGAGCGCCCTTGCTTGCCCTGTCAGGAGATGAGAAGAGGATGTCTGGGGCTGAGCTAGCAGAAGAGGCACTCAGCTTTAGTCCCTCTCCTATGTGAATCCCATCATGACTCCACAGCACCAAGTCTAAGTTCCACAGACTCATATCACTCCCTATCCATTCCCTGCACGCCAGCCACTCCAGCCACTAGCCCTTCCCTGCTCCCTCCAAGCGTCTTCACACCTCCATACCTGTGCCCATTCTGTTCCCTGGAGTGTTTGACAAGGAGTGCCTCCTGCTCATCCTGCAGTGCCCATTCTGATTACCCAACACAGTGTTGGCATGCCCCTGCCCTGTGGTCCCTTTGCCTTCACACATACCTGTGGGGTAGCTCTTATCAGAATTTATGCAGATAAACATCATCTCTGTTTTCCCACACATAGCACTAGATACAGAATAAAATAGGCATGAAAAAATATTTGTCAAATTAACAAACAAACATGTTTGTACACTATGAGCCACTTGAGAGAAAGGCTGGGTCCTTTCCAGCTATTCGGGTAATAGAGTTTGTCCAACTGTCCAGGCTGAGGCCAGAGTTGAAGGAAGGAGCTGGGTGGTTATGATAGCACTAGTTGGATTGGCGTGGTCCCAGGCTGCGCCTGTGTACTGAAGCACCTGCTCCAGGTTCCTCTCTGCAGGCTCCGTGGGCAGAAAGGACTTTGCTATTGCGTCTACACAGGCCCCAGAGGTTGCCCGGTGGGGCACAGCTCTCTGCAGCTCTCTCACTCTCAGCCCTCAAAGCTCAGAGCCGGCCTAGGCCTCGTCCTCTTCTCAGTCCACTTATCAAGTCGGAAGTTCAAAGCTGGTCCAGCCTGGAGGGGCCAAGGTTTATGTGCTTGTCCTCTCCACCATAGCCACCCGACCCTGTGCCACACTCCAGGAAGGGTGGGGACAGGAAGGGGATGGTGGGCCTGTGTCTGCCCAGGGCACTGTCCGCTCTGTCAGGATGTATGCCTCAAAGCTTCCACCCAGAGAACTGTTTCCAGACTGAAGCCCTGGGCTGGTGATGAGCCCCCTGCCAAGGGCCTCGCAGGGCTGGGGGGCTGGGAGAAGCTGGCAAGAGGAGGGCAGGAGGAGTAGAAGTGTTCTGAGACACCAGTGCCCCTCAAATTAGTCAGAGTGAGCACCAGTCAACCTGTCACTACTGTGGGACAGGAACACTTCGGGGAAGTCCCCCACCACCTGTGGCGAAGGGAAAGTATCGGCTGATAAGGTCTGAGGCAAGCTCAGTCTGGTCCAGCTGGGAGACACTGGCTAAGACATCTGCTTCCCTGAGCCTCAGTCTCCTAATCATGAATGGATATAACCTTTGTAAGCACTCCTCGGGCCCCGAGACAGTGTGTGTTCACGGGACATCAGGTAATGTGTGCACCTGCAGCAAGCTTTGGGTGGTTTGTGTCTTCCTGGTGGTCCCTTCTCTCCTTGTTGCACCAGCCGTCCCCACCCCGTTCTTTTTTGGGGGTGGTGGTGGGTGGAGGGAGTTCCCCTCCCACAACCACATAATCTTAGCTGGACTTCCCCCTGTACACCTTCCTGCCCACCCCTCCCAGCATGGGGGTTGAAGAGGGAGCCTTCTCAACATGGGTCCTCTGGATTGCCTGCTTAGATGGGCAGCTTAGATGGGCAAGAAGTACGTGGAGAGGTAGTGTGAGGGGTCTTGCTGGCTACAAACAGCTCCAGGAGTCAGAGGAAGGGCAGGGCAGAGCCTGGACTAGAGCACAGGCTGCGCGGGATGGTGCCATGGTAGTCAGCCTCCTCTCTCGCACCCCCACATCCAAACCATCAGTGAGTCCTGCCAGACCCTCAGAACATTCCAGAACCCAACCTCTTCCCTGACTTCTACTCCTCTCTAGCCTCCACATCCAACTATAGGCAAGTCCTGCACAATCAATCCTCAGAGCATATCAGAACCCAAGCACCTTCCCTGCCTCTACTGCCAGCAGCCCGCCTCAGCTGCCATTGCCTCTGCCTCCTGTCTCATCTAGATCCCTTCTGCCCATGTAATCCCTTTCGCCGAAGCTACCTGAGCAACTATTTTACTAGTAAATACGTTGCCTATTCTCAGTCTGGCCCCATTGTTTCCCACCATACCCAGGATAGGTTTACATTCCTTACTGTAAGACCACCAGTTTTGGCCCCGGCCCACTGCCCTGACCTCATTGTCTTCACTTCCTTTCCACATCCACTGAGGTGCTCCTCACTGTTTCTGAGCTCCCTTAGGGTGTTCCCACCCCAGGGCCTTTGCACTGGCTGTTTCCTCTGTCTGGAGCCTTTGATTACCAGGTATTCATGGGATTCCTTCCCTTCGTTCCTGCAGGTCTTTACTCAAATCTTACCTCCTCATAAAGGTCTTCCTGACCCCATATCTTCAATAAGCCCTGCTTCCCCAGTGCTATCAGCCCCAGTCTTCTTATCTGTGTATTTTTCTTCAAAGTACATTCTATGATATTAGTTTATATATTTAGTTGTGTGATTATTGTCTGGGGTCCCTGGTAGACAGGCTCTGTGGTGTGATGGGGGAAATGTGGGGGTCTGCGGGTGATGCGGAGCAAGTGGCTGCCCTTCTCTAGGCCTCAGTTTCTCTGTCTGTACTCTCAGGCCTGGACTGCCCTCTCTTGAGGCCTGCTAACATGATGTCAGTAGCTCTGTATCTCCCTTTGTCCTGGAGGGTTGTGGAAGCAGAGGCACTGGGCTCCAGCAGAGGGCGCTTAGTCCTCCTCTGGGGCCCTCACTCCCGGGTGTGGGGGATAGCATGCTACCGAGGTCTGTGTGCTTGTAAAAGGCCCAAGTCTGGGTGCCCTCCTTACCCTGCGGCCTAGCGTTGTTTGCAGCCTGTGAGGCGCTGACGCCAGGGCAAAGCTCACTGAGTGGTGGTGGAGTACCAGGCACGTCAGGACCCAGGGCATCTGGATCAGAGTTCCATCCCCGCCCATGGTTCCAGGCAGGTCCTGTCCCCCACCCTCCTCTAACCCCAGCCCCGGGCCTCCTCTGCATATAGTCCTGCTTTAAGGAAAGCAGGCTCCACTGGAGGGCACATCTCTGGCTGCCATGGTGGCTGTCAGTGGCCACAACTACAGTCACAGGCTTGGCTCCAGCTGGCCCCTGGGGCTCTGCTAGGGGCGGCTTGCCCACTGGGCACAGCAGGGCTCTGGGAAGGCCCACCCCCTGCCCGCCTCCCCAGGGCCAGGCCACCGCGGGAAGGTCCCTGACCTTAGGGCTCGGGTGTGGTCACTCTCTTCCGTCCTTCCGGCTGCAGCCCTGCCTGGGAGGGGACAGGAAGCCCAGGTCTCTGGAAGGGCCAGACCTCAGCAGGTGCTGAGGGGCAGCCAGCCGGAGCCACTCCCTCCAGCTGGTTGCCAGTCGCCACTGCCTTCCACTGGCTCCCCAGGCCAGCCCGAGCTGCTCCACGGGGGCCCTGGGCACCTCTTTCCTCCCCGGGGTGCCTGCCCTGCCGCCTGGGGTACCCGACTCAGGTTCCACAGGAAGAGCCAGACTGCGCCCAAGGCCAGGGCACTGTGACAACTTGGGACGTGCAGAGCTCGGTGCGCTCCTGTGGGGGGCTGGCCCCAAGGGTCTTCCAGCCACTCCCCAAGGCCTGGGTCCTGTGGGCCGCCTTTCCCTGGGCCTGGCTGCTTGCCTGGGGAAGCTGGTGCAGCCAGGGGAAAGGGCCACCAGGCAGACCAGCACTCAGAGCCTCAGCGCACCCCATAAGGTTCTCCATTATAAAGTGCCCTGTGAGCAGGCTGAGCCTGGGACCCCAGACCAACTGGGGTGGGGAGCCTCCCCAAGGAATCCGTCTCTCCAGTGCACTTTTCAGGAGCAGCAGCTGCCCTTTGGACCACTTCTTGGAGGGGCATGGGCGCCCAGACATCTCTGGGCATGCCCGTTTCCCAGTCCTGAGGGGAAGGCCCTGAGAACATTGCATTAAGGCGACAACACTCTAAGGTGTCTGTAATAGTGCAGTTTTCAAATCTCAGCCCCTGAACTCTGCACTTGGTGTTCTCCTAGTACAGTGCCTGGAGCCAGACTTCCAGGGTTCAAATCCAGGCTCTGCACCTTACCCGGGCAAGCCCTTCCCATCTCTGTGCCCCAGCTTCCTCACCTGTGAGATGGGGCTAGCAGCCAGCTTTGCAGGGTTGTGGGGAGGACTGAGAGCCAGCACAGGCTGGCTCTGTGAGTGGTAATCATGGTCACTAATGATGGCATATTTGACTCAGTGGGCCTGAAACCCAGAGAATCAGAAAGTTGAGAAATAGGGTGGTGTGAAGCATCCAGAAGACATTTGGCCCAAACTCTTCTCTTTCTGGTAAGAAGGGGGAAATGAGAGGCCCAGCAGGTTGAGCTGTAGTAGGCTGTGCCAGACCAGGACCATGGTCTTGGAGACACTGACCAGCTGGGTGGTGTGGGTTGCTGACTGCTCCAAGCCCCAGGCTCCCTACTTGAAAAATGGGATTCAGGCGCCTCTCATTTAGCACTAATGGGGCACATTCAGGGAAGGGTGCATCACACAGGAGGAGTTCAGTAAATGTGGGTGGCTGCCTCCCCTAACTTTGTCACACAGCAAAAGAGAGGCTTGTGTGGGGAGGCCTGGGCCAGGCCATCCTCCTCTACCCAGAAGAGGACAACGACAGACAGCTGCTGTGAGGCCATCTAAGAAGGGTGCCCAGCAGGAGACACAGCTCTTTATGTCACTAGCAGTCCCCGCTGGGCCTGGGCACAGTCCCTTTTCCAATGACACAGTTCTCTTTCCTGCTAAGCCTGCCATCCCTTGAGCTATAAGAGGAGGGTGGGAAGTAAGTAGTGGGAGGAGCAGGAAGGCACACCAGGAGGGGGTGCTCCTGAAGGCACAGGTTCAGAGTAGGGACAGGCTCAATGCAATGAGATGGGGGTTCCCAGGGTCCCAGGGAACTTTGTGATCATTCTCACTAGACCCACAGTGTACCTAAGAGGAGCTGAAGCCAAGGAGGCTGAAAGACTTGCCCAAGGTCTCAGGATGAAGGGGACTGAGTCGTGTGTCCTTCCCAAGGGCAGTATATCCAGACCAGATTCATTTCTGCAACCTCTCTGTACCAGCATGGAACAGCATGAAGATAAGTTTCTTGAGTTTTTTTTTTTTTTCATTAAACAAATAAGTCTGGTAGTGGAATTTTTTATTTAATGCATAAACATATAAGTCCCTTTATTAGAGAAATTGTACATATTGATTAAGAGGGTCAATGGTCACATCTATGGGTTAATTCTTTAAAAATCAGAACCAATGATTAGAAAAAACTGTAAGTTCTTTGTTACATTGTGAAGTGTCTTGTGTAGTCATATTCTATTGTTGAAATGACAGCTTGTACAAATTTCAAGAAAATTAGAAGATACATATGAACACCAAGTTCTCCCCTCCTTCTGCAAGTCTCAATGATTTTCTTCATCACCTCAGTATGCCTGCATGGGTGAACTGAACACATAGGAGGTGGTGGGAGATGAGGATGCTTTTCAATGGTCACTGTTTTCTTCACATGATCTTGACTGATGTCTTCATACATGTTTTCAACTGTTAAAGGCTGCCGTTGCTCATTGTAGCCAAACAACCATAATTGTGGTGTCTGATAATATTTATCATAAGTGATATAAAGGCCATATGTTCTGGTTTGCAAAATAGCATCTTCATTTCCAGCATCAGTTTTAGCTTTATGAGCTTCTACTATTTTCCTTGTGTCTAGGGTAGCCTCATCTGTTTCCAACAATCCACTCTCTTCATATTCTTCCATATCTGCAGCTTCTCCTTCATCTTTCTCTTCCTCCTCTTCACATAATGCTGAGCAATCTTGGAGTTTTATACTATCCTTGCTTTCCAGTGTAATCTCCTTAACTGCTTCAGTTATTCCTGTAATACCTGTGTTATGATAAGTATCTACCCATCCTCCATCACCATCATCCTCTTCAATGATAGCTTCCAATTCATCTGAATATTCCATCTGCTTGCACCGCTTGTAACATGGCACATTTTTGGTGACCAAAAATTGTTTGCCTATTGGTAGGTATGCCTTCACTTTCAATTCTTCCCCTGTAGCCCATTGCCATGTTGGACAGTGGTGAGCTAAGTGATCTCCAGCTGCCACAAAGTCTTCTGGGGTGATAACACCCGTTTCCTTACATTTTGATTCCTTGAGGACTGGGGCCAGGTACTCAGCCACTTCCAGTGCCTTTCCCTTCACTGTGTTAATCATATTCTGCATCCTGGGGCAGATGGAGCTCATTACAGACCACATTACTGAAGGTCTATGCTTGCAACAAGGGAGGAGATGTACAGCTTTGCTTTGCTCTCCTTTGAGCTCCCTGATGCCTGTGCTCAGCTCCACACCCTTCAAAGGACTCTGAGATGGACAGCAATCCCTGGAGACTCCATCCTGGGAGACGAAGGAGGGCTCAGTCAACAGGGCCTCCAATTGTTGTCCTTAATTCTCTGCAAGACTGTCTTGTGGCAGGAGGGGCAGAAGAATAGGGCTGGGCCCCTTGGGAAGATAGGACCCAAACTTGTGAGCGAGTGCCCCATTTTAGTTATAATGGGTGTGAACATGTGGGGATGCCCATTTGATGGGAATCTTCATGCGTCATTTGTTTAAAAGTCACTATTGACCACCTGCTGTGTGCCAAGCACTGGAGCTGACATTATTTTGCTGAAAAAATAGTCAACAAATTTAAAATGTGATGTCAGATGATGACAAGTTTGAAGATGGACAACAGAGCAGAGCTGAGAGCAGAGAACAACGGCAGGGGCCTAGGTTAAAGAGAGGAGGTATCATCCTCCCAGGAAGCAGGAGGATGAGAAGGTAGCCATGTGAAAAGGCAGGGAGGAATGTCCCAGGCAGTGCAAAGGCTGCAAGTGCAAAGGCTGGGAAGTAAGACTGTGCTGGAGTGCAGTGGCTGGAGTGAGGTGAGTGAGACTAGAGAGAAGGGCTGTGCCCCATGCTCTAGGGTCCCTTGTCTTTTGTCCAGTCTAGCCATCCCTTCCTTACTAAAGCAGACTCCGGAGGCTCCCCCAGAATGCCAAGCTATGAAAAGCTGCGTTCACTACAATGACCACACGAGGGCAGCAGAGGGACACTGGGAAAGAGTGAGGCAGTTGAGAGCTGAATCTGAGTCCTGTGGCTCTCAAGCAGCCCAGCTGCATCTGAACCCCTCCCGCTCTGCTTCTCTGAACCCATCTTTGCTACTCTCTTCTCAAGCTCCTCCTCCCTAACCATCAGGGACACCTGCTAAAATCCCAAATCCACTACTTCCCATGAGACTCAATGCCCACATCCTGGAAATGGGAAGAGTTCCATCTCTAGGGGCATGTAGTGGGTGTCAGTAACTTGTCTGTTTGCAGTCATGTGTGCCTTGGCCAATTAGCTGTGTGGCCTTGGGCAACTCACTTACACTCTCTGAGTTTCAGTCCCCCATCTGTAAAATGGGATGATGGAAGGACTACAGCATGGAGGCCCCGTGCAAGCAAACTGACAATGCAGAGCATATGCCAATACTGAGCATGGTGCCTGGCACTTAGCAAGTGCTCAATGATAATAATTGATCATGACAATAGCATAATGACTTGGGTGTGTAGAGCTAGGAGAGAACTGCTGTTCAGATGAGAACACTGGAGATTGTGAAAAGGAGAGATTTACCCAACTTGTACTACCCAGGAATGAGGCCAAAATGCTCCTCCAAGACTGCCTGTCCATTTGACTGATGGGATGCTGAGACCCAGGGAGGACTGGCAGCTTGGCCAAGGCCACCTGGTGGCAGGCACGGGACAAGAATCCTGGATGCCTGCTTCCTGGCCATGGCTTATCTTGCCTCATTAGAGGGCCTCTCCCTCACCCAGAGTTGGACACTCCTTCCCATAGTCCTGAAAGTCACTGCTTGCATACCCCAAGGAGGTCAGTCACCCCAACAAGCCAGCTCTGACTGAGAGGGAGGGGTGCTCTGCCTCCATATAGCTCCGTGAGGAAGGAGCTTGCTGGACAGGGTGAGGGGGCATTTCTAGGCTACAGCTCCTGATACATCTTTTTCTTCCTCAACTTCCCTGCGCCTGACTGGGAGACTAGAGACCTGCAACCTTGGAGTGTGGCATTCATGGAAGCCTGGTCCCTTTCAATTTTTGAGTTCTTAGAGCTTCTTATTGGAGCTGAGGCTCCTCATTCCCAATGGGGTTGGGGGGAGCCCCTTCATTTTGGTGTTCTTTGGGGTGAATGAGTTGTTTCCGGAGGGTGGGCAGCCCTGGAGAGGTAGTTGGAGTTGACAGTGGGGATGAGAGGTGGGGAAAGGGAGGAGGAAGGGGTTTGGGAAAATACCCTGTGACGCCCCCCCACCAAAATGCCGTCCTTTTCTGAGATGGTGCACGTCCCCTGGGCATGGAGAGGGGCACTCTCCCATGCTCCTCTCTGCCCATGTCCTTGGGAAACACTCTCTGTCCTCATGGAAGAATTCCTCCAAAAACCTCGAATACCCTCAGCGTCACCCAGGGTATTTTTCTTGTGGTTAAGGTGGTATTTACAGTGAAAACATCTATTGAAGTGAATCACAAAAATAATGTCAGTGTTTCCACTTTTGACAGAAATGGGAAGGCAGGTGGTTTCTTGTCTGCGATAGCGCATCTGCTCCTGCAATAATTACTATTTGAGATAATTGTGAAAAAGAATTTAAATACTTAAGGCATGCTCAGGGGCCAGGATAACTTTCTTTTGCCTTATTCATAATCTGTCCTGCAAGTTGGAGGTTTGTCCTGCCGTGGGCTGTGGGAGGACGGTGGGAGGGGCACTGGGAGGTGGTGAGCCTGCTCCAGGGGCCTGGGCAGGCTTGGGTCCCAGGAGGAGTGAGGGTCTTGGAGAAGGACACACCTCTGTTGAATCTGGATTTTGGGGGACAGTGACTGTGGACAACTTTCTCTGCACCTCAGTTTCCTTGTCTGTGAAATGGGTTAATAACTGAGTGTGCCCAAGAGGCTTGTTATGCAAATCAAAGCAGATAATGTATGAAGCACATGCAGCACTCTGCATGGTGTACAGACAGGGATCAGCCTGTGCTGGGCCCCTTCCTGGGCCAGCAAGGCCTGGACTAGCTTCTGCAGCCCCACGGACATCAAAACCAAGCCCTTGAGGAGAACCTCAGTGAGTTTACATCCCCTTTCCACCACTCTCCCACCCAAACTTCTTCTCAGGGTGCAGAATTCAGAAAGGGGCAGTGCAGCGAATGTGCATGAGCGTGGAAAGGCAGCCTCAGGGAGCTCTGGCCCCTGCCCAAGTGGACAGGGCCGGGGCTCAGCGGGGCTTGGTCCAGCTCCATGTGCAGGCCAAGTGTCCCCGTCGGAGGTCAGAGGGCCTGGGCTGGACTGTCGGGGAGGCAGTGTCTTCTCTGTCACCTTAGGTGTCTAACCAGCACCAGGGTGACCATCTACCAGGGACAGGGCTTGGGCTGAGGGAACCCTGAGGACCTTTGCTCTTAGTGGAGGGTGAATCAGAACCCAGGAACCCTGGGTCCTAAGGGAGGCTAGGGAAGGGAGGCGTGGAGGCAGGACCTGGGGCTGACGAAGCACACATGCACCCCGGATGGGAAGGGCTGGCCCAGGCCCCCGGGGCCTTCACCTGGGACAGCCTCTGGGCGACCCCCATGGGTGGTGATGAAGGAGGGGCTCCCCTGGGAGGGTGCAGGACCTTGGAGGAAGAGGTCAGAGGAGCCAGCCCAGGGGCTCACAAGAAAAGAAGGCAGGTGTCTCAGCTCTGTACTGGCCCTGCCATGACTCGTTGTCCAGCCTTGCACAGGTCCATGCCTGACTCCAGCCTCACTTGCCCCAGGTTTGTAATAAGAGAATTGGACTTATAATTAAAAACTACAAAGAGCAATGACTTAAATTAAAAAATACATTTTATCTCTTTCATATTTAAGCCTAGAGGTAGGTGGAACCAGGCTGATGTGGGGACCAGCTTCCTTCTAATTCCTGGCTTTACCAAACCAAAGAAGAGATCTTGTCTTTGTGGTCCAAAATGGCCGCCAGAGTTCCAGCCATCACATCTCAGCAGAGGCACAGGGAAGGAGGGAAGAAAAAAAAGGGGGGTTATCACATGTCTTTTAAGAAAGGCTTCTAGAAGTTGATACTTGACACTATTTCTTCCATCGCATTGGCGAGAGCTTAGTTGCATGACCACTTCTAGATGCAAGAGAATCTGGGAATGAGCTTTTATTCTGGGAGCCCACCTGACAGTCAGAGAGAGAAGAGAAGGATGGTGCTGCGGGCTCCCAGCTGAGCCTGCCATGGAATGATCTCCCGGGGCCTTTCTGCTTTGACTCTTGTGGGTCTGAGGGGCTGGAAGTGTACAATTGGCCATGTCTCAGGCATTTAAGAACAGGACAGGGGCCTAACTGAAATATGCAAGTTTTCAAAATTCTGAAGTTCTGAGATTCTGGAATTTCCAAAGCCTGTGTGTGTGTGTGTGCGTGCGCGCGCGCCTAGGAGCAGGGCCGCTCAGGTAGCTGATTTGGTGCTCGCCTTGGGCAGGATGGGGGCTGGGGGTGCCCCCTTGGCTCCTGGAATCCACTCCGGGCTGCCTGTCCTCACAAGTGTCTGTGTGCACCAGAGGCTGGCCGTGGGGGTGCAGTGGGAGAGGCACACAGGGATGCCTGCTCAGTCAGGTGAAGGCAAAGTTGTGGGCAGGCTCCGAAGGCCTGGTGCCACAGGCAGGCTTGGGAGGCGGCACAGAGGGCAAGCTGCAAGGCAGTGGGAGCAGGGCAGGGTGGGGGGCAGGATGGAGGCCCGCCCCCCAGGTGTCCTGGCTCTGACTATGCAGGCACTCAGCAGGTGCTCTGTGTGCGACACTGCTTGGCCCTGCCCTTGGGGAGCTGTGCTCAGTTAACAACAGTGAATAAATGGTATGTAATGAGCAGTAGGGAGCAAAACCACGTAGGTAATGGGGTGGGGAGTAGTGGCAGGGTGTGTAGTGTTAGACCATTGGTCAAGGAAGTATCACTGAAAAGGTGACTTTGGGGTAAAGACTTGAAATAGAGGGAGGAGTGAGCTAAGTAAGCATCTGAGAGAGGGCATGCTAGCCACCTGGCACAGCTTGGGCAAAGGCCCCAAGGCAGGTGTGTGATGGTGTGTGTGAATTGTAGAGCAGGGCCAAGGTGGAACAGGCTGGGTGAAGGGAGAGGGGCATGGGAGGTGAGGTCAGGGAGGTTATGGGGCCAGACCACGCAAGGCTTC